AGAGTCACTACTCAAAAATCAAGTGTTCTTCTATATCAATAACAAACTCACTGAGAGGGGAATTAGGGAAGCAATATCCTTCAGAAAAGCATCAAGAAAACTGAAATACTTAAGGATTAACCTAACCAAGGGAGTAAAAAACCTGTACAATGAAAACTGTAGTACTCTCTAAAAGGAAATTTCGACTTAAGAATTGAGAAGTTTAGAAGGTTAACCAACTGATTCAGCAGGGGACCAGGTCAGCACTTTGTAAACATCCTGAGCCTGTGCAAGAGGAGGGTATAGAGATGATATGGGTGGGGACCCTATAAAATATGAGTGAGAAAAAGGGGCTTGCTCTCCCCCGTTTTGCTCTTGTTTTGCTATCTTCTGCTACCATGAAGTGTTGCCCCTGTGCCATGCCACCCTGCCTTGGAGCCAACTGATTATGGACAGAAACCTCCACAAACTGTGAGCTAAATAAACCTTTCCTTCCTTAATTTTGGGTGTCAGGCATTTTGTCTCATCAGCAACTAGAGTAAAGTAACTAAGGCAGAATTTGGAACCAGAGGAGTGGGGTTGTTGCCATGACGATATCTGATCATATGGTTAAAGAACCTTTAGGAATTTCTTATGGGAAGTGTTTGCAAAGGTTCAGAGATGTTTCCTGAAAGAGTAGAGCTGAAATGCCTTAGGCTGTTCTTTATGGAAGATTCTGGTCAGAGCTCAGAAGACCAGAAAACTGGTGAAGATCAGGCTCAGGAGGTTTCTGCTGGGAAGGAGTGCACTGGCTGTTGGACTCCAAACAATGTATGACATGGTTTGACAGAAAGTTTGTCTGCATTTTGCTTGCATCCAGAGACTTTGCCTGAGACTGAGATTAAGGGTAACAGAAGAAATTTGAAGCAGTCAAATGTTGAGGCTGTGGCATAGCTATTGTTGGGGACTTTAGCCAGATTTATGTTGAGAATCAAGAACAAAGAGCCAAGCGAGATGATTTAAAACATTGTGAGTTTGTCCAGAAAGGAAGCTACAATAAAACTGTTGACCACAAAGATAAAACTGATAAAATCTCAATTGTCCAGAAGGAACTGGAGAATAGAAAAGAAGGCCTCAGGGCATCACAACAAGCAGCAAGTCTCTAACCTTTGCAGCCTCAAACTGTAAAAGTGATAGACTTTGATTTGAGGAGCAACCTGCAGAGCACCATGTTCCAGAATAGTGGAAACATAGAAAATTTGTTCCTCAGAATTGGATTCAGAGTGCCCAGCAATGCAGGAACCAACACCCTAAGCCTGATTACTGTTGCAGCTTTCAGCAAACCTTGCTATCATCCACATGTTTTTGGTTTTAGGTGCATGCAGAATGCAAAAGTTGTGGGGTTAAGAAGGCTTCCACCCTCCTTTCAGAAGGCCTGGAAGGCCAAGCAATGTGCCCTTGAGAGGGCCATGTATGAAGCCCTGAGGGTGAATCCAAAGGTGTTGTGGAGACCCCAGAAGTTTCAAAAAACCAGAAATGTGGGTCATCTAAGGAACGCTGCAAGGAGGGAGGAAAACAGGCCTAACAGTGAAGCCATGGGAGCTACAACCACCAGAAGTGCCTTAGGGGTGGCGTCACTCAAACCTTATGGAAATGAAAATGTTTATCTTGTGCTGTTGAATGTTGGAAGTGTTTGAGTTTGTTTTCATTTGTACAAGGGATTGAAGCTAAGAGTTTGCCTTCAATCTCAGAGGAGACTTGGGACCTGGACTTTGCAGCAATGCTGAAATTGTTAGGACTTTGGCAACTCTTACACGTGGACTAAATGTCTTTTGAATAAAGGAACATGCATGAGTCTTTGGGGGGAGAGGGACAGAATGTTATGATTCTAATGTAATATAATGTCGATAGCTTTAATATTGGCTCTTAGTGATTGTTAAACCTGTGTTATAATGTTCAAATTGTAAAATGTTAGGAATATGCATGCCTTTGTATCTGGAGACCAGTTTAAAGAAACGTGTCTAGTTGCCAAGTCGAAAAGGGATGGATTTTAATGGTTGATACATTGTGTCAACTTGATAATTGAGGAGTTTAAATGATTAACTAAACAATTCAGTGGGGGGGTCAGGGTCCTCACTTTGTAAACATCCTAAGCTTGTGCAAGAGGAGGGCATGAAGATCGTGTGGGTGGGAAGCCTGCTTACAATACAAGTGAGGAAAAGAGGCTTGCTCTCCCCCATTTTTTGCTCTTGCTTCTTTTGCTGTCTTTTGCCGCTTCCCTTGTGCTGTGTCACCCTGCCTTGGAGCCAAATGATTATGGACTGAAACCTCCACAAACTGAGTTAAATAAACCTTTCCTTCCTTAATTTTGGGTGTTGGCTATTTTGTCTCAACAATGAGAGAAAAGTAAACAAAACAAAGGCTACCATAAAATGTAAAGATATCTTCCTTTCATGGATGAGAAGAACCAATATAGTTAAAATGATCTTCTTCCAAAACTGTTATGTAGATTGAATGTGATCCAAATCAAAATACCAAAAACATTACTTATAGTAGTAGAGAAAGCAATCCTAAGATTCTAAGGAAGAAGTGACCTAGAATAGCAAAAGCAATTCTAGGCAACAAAAGTGGGAAAAGGGTATCACAATCCTTGGCTTGAGGTTACACTAAAAAGGTGCAGTAATTTAAAAAGCATGCTACTGGCAAAAAAAAAATAGACTCATGTATCAGTGGAATAGTATAGTAGATAAATAAATAACTTCATGCACAAATGGCTATGTTACTTTTTATGAAAAAGCCAAATCCCTTCCCTGGAGGAAAGATAGCTCTTTATAAAATAGTGCAGGGAAAATTAGCTATCTCCGTGCTGAAATATGAACCTAGACCCATATTTCACACTATGCATTAAACTAAAATCAGAATGGATCAAAGATACAAACAGTAGAACAGAATCACTTAATGTGCTAGAAAATAAAACAAGTATAACTGTTGAAGACAAAGGTATAGGAAAGTTATTCTGAACAAAACTCCAGTTGAACAAGAACAAATACCAAGAATCATCAACTAGGACCACATAAAATTTAAAAACTTCTGCACAGCAAAGGAAATCACTAACAAAGTGAAGACACAGCCTGCAGAATGGAAAAAAAAAATTGCCAGCTACTTCCCAAAGGACTAATCTAAAATATACAATGAACTCAAAATTTTAGATCCCTACATTTATAGACTTTCTCCAAAAATGAATATTTGAAATGAATAGACACTTCTTAGATGAAGAAATACAAATAGCCAGTAAATACAGGAAAAAATATTCATCATCGCTAGCCATTCATTAAATGCAAATTAAAACAACTGTGACATTCTGTCTCACTCCAGAAAGAATGGTTATCATCCAGAAATGAACCAATAACAAATGCTTTTGAGGTTATGGGGAGGAAGGAACCATTCTGCACTGTTGATGGGAGTGTAAACATACAAACTCTATGGAAATCAGCATGGAGTTTCCTCAAAAGCCTAAGAGTTGAAATTCCATTTGAGTCAGCTATTCCCCTTCTAGGTATCTTCCCCAAAGTGTTAAAGATATCATACCACAGTCATGTATGCACATCCACATTTATAGCAGCACAATTCGTAATAGTTAAATATTGGAAATGTCCCACAGGTCAATCAATAGATAAATGAATAAACAAAATGTGCCATTAAAAAGGACAAATTTGAGCCATTTGTAGTAAAATGGATGCACCTTGAGACCATAATATTAGGTGAAGTAATTTAGACATACAAGATTAAATATTGCATGGTTTCTCTGTATGAAAATATCAATATATATGGACTAAAAGGAAAATGAAGAAATTTTTTTGTTATTAGAATCCAGCTTAGATAATACATCTGAAAGTGTACCTTGATTTTGTACAATTGTTTTTTAATGTTTTATATATTCTTTGGCCTATTAATCTGGTTTTCAATCTGTATATATGATAATTAACTTTATAAGGTATACACGATAAATGAAAATGATGCAGGAAAACTAAAAGGGAGTGGAGGGATGGGAGTAAAGGAAGAAAACTGAAATATGTTATGTACATAAACCAATCCTTGCAGTGAATGTAATCATTATGTACTGCAAACATGTATTAATAAATGTCAAAAACAAGTTCTCTTTCAGAGATTAATAATAAAAGATATTCTTCTTATAAAAATTATTGAACAAACTACTTTTCACACTCTGCACAAAAATCTTTAAATTCTGCTAATCCTAAAAAAACTTCATTTGACCTTTCAAACACAACTGCCTTTACAACATTAGATTGGGAGGCTATAATATTTTCTGATCATCTTTATTTCAGAATAGCTCAATCCTGGAAGTAGAAGGAAGATGAGTTGAGTGGAGGATGCTGTGGGTCACTACATCAGATGAAGCTGTCATAACCAATGCTATATGAATTTCATGTACAAACTGATAACATCAAGTTTAGAAATTTGGATTTTGGTGTGTCAAGATGCAGTAACCTAAATAGAAATCTTATTTTTACACATGGCTATGATTGATTATATTCCTAACCAGGTGTTAACCAAACAGAAAGTTTATATCCTGGTAGTTATGTTAAAAGGACAGCTGTTATACCCAAGCATCATAACACATTCTTTACATTTACTTCTGCAATGAAGATTTACAATGGACCTCAGCAGCATCAATGCATTCATCTTAGTAGCACATCTGACAATGTTTAAGGAGTCTCTAGTGCCAGGAAAACACCTCCCCTGACTTACATTCTACCCATTCATCAGCAAGAAAATCAAATGTCTTCTCTTCCAAACATGACTAATAGGAATTTGGATAGTTTGCATAATTTACTTCTATAAAATATCATGGAATATTCAAGCTTGCAAAGAAACTTTGTCCTGGACCAAAACAGGATCAGCCCAGAAAGATGAGAGAGTAATGACACTGGAGTAATACATTGTTCTCCTTCCTATTAGAAAGAACTCTGAAATTTTCAACAATATGATCTGTTCTGATTAATTTTTTGTGTGTTTCTTAGGAGAGGTAAAAAACCCTGGTCAGACAATTCCCAGAACTTTGATTTCTGCTTTGTTCATTGTGACTGTGGTATACTTATTGACTAATATATCCTTCCTGACAGTTTTGACACCAAAGGAAATCATCTTTTCAGGTATGATTGTATGTGAACAGGAGGGAAATGGGCACATCTATCTACTTAAAATAGATGGGTATGTCTCTATAAATAGATTTGTTTGATATACCTATAATCATATAAATATAATGTGTTCATGTTTTGGGCATTACAAAGAATCCAAGGAAAAATAATTGTCTCAATAATGTGTAAAAAATAAGCACTTGACAAACCCTAAGTGCATAGAGTAGAAGAATGTGAAATAGCAAGAACTAAACAGAGAGAGGAGGTAGATTAGAGGAAGGGAGAAGAGGTGGAAAAAAAGGAGGTGTAAAAAGAAAACACAGAGAAAACATGAACGAGAAAGGCACCAAAAAAGAAATACGTATTTTCCATAGATATTCCATAATTTAGATTCCACCCAGATACCTATCCTCATTGTAACTGTTTGAAATAGGCAATACCATCCCCATTTCTTAGACAAAGAATGTAAAATCCAGGGTATTTAATTATGTAGCCACTGTCATCCATCTACAGATGGAAAGATTTAAAATTCAAAAGCAAATATGAGTTGACCTCTTAAAATTATAAAAATACCTTCCTCTTCTTCAGCTTATTGGGAATAATGGTTCATAAATATGAGCAACAATATATAAAGACTAATATTAATAGAATTCCAACAAGAATGACATTTAATGTGGCATAATAATTGGAAAGAAACAGACTAAAACCAGTTTCTAATTTTAAAACCATATTCTCAATCTCTGTTAAAATCAGGTCAAAGCTTTACTAAGATGGCTTCTCAGAAATTCAATAATAACATAAAGCCATATAACTTAAGCTCTGAAACACAATGAGTCTTATTTATACAGAAAATGACAAGACACATAAACACAGATATGAACAAATGCAGATTCAAATACTGAAAAGTGTACTTTACAACAAAAAAGTAGTATTTGAAATGTATTAGAAAAAGTAAACTAAACTTTAATTTCTTTTAAATGGAGTTACTTGGGGCTGGGGATTTAGCTCAGCGGCAAAGCACCTGCCTGGCAAGCGCAAGGTCATGAGTTCGGTTCCTGGTACCGGAGAAAAACCAAAATAAATGAATAAATAAATAAATGGAGTTACTGCTGAAGGAAAAGAAATTCAATTATCTGGAAAATTTATTCATTAAGAACAATTTACTTCTCAAGTATTCTAAATGAATTTTAATCACTATACCAGTGAAAATACTAACTAAAAAGTAGCATACACAGACATAGGGCAATATGACCATGGACAAACACAGAGGGATCTCAACATGTATATAACTTTACAGGATTAAAAAAAACCGAAAGGGGACTTCATGCATCTTCGTAGAGACTAGCACAGAAATGCTGGTTATAAAAGAAAAGGACAAGTACAAGACTAAAAAGGACACAAAAGTGTGTTAAGATTGCATATTCACAATTATGGTCTCACAGGATTACTGTAATCTACTGAAAGAGATATTTTTAATTATTAAAAATTAAGGCAAAATTATAATTTGCCATATACTCCACCTGAGAACTTGTCCACCAGTTCTCTAAAAATATACCTCACTAACATGCTTCAGGTATTATCCCCTCTTCGTTCCCCCTCATACTGCCTTGGTCCAGGCTCTCCTTGTTCTTCCCCGGTTTACTGCAACAGCTTCTTAATTTATGCACTCCAACCAATCCAGCTTTCTTCCAGTGTCTACAGTTGACTTTATAAAATACAATCAGGCCACTTCCTTGCTTAAATACTATGCTGTCTCATTTGATTGCATGTCCTCCTAATCTCACTCTCAGCTGCTGTAATCATCACATTATCACTCCAACATGCCTTTCATTCAAACCAAATGGCCATCTCTCAGCTGACCAGAGCAATCTGCACCGTCTTATTCCAGGCCTAACTTTCTGTCCTCATCTACTGCAAGCTTCTGTACAGCAGACACTCTAATCTCTTCCCCACACAATATACTTTGGATACCTGGAACTTGGTATAATTGCCTACCTCATCTTGACAGTAAGATTGATTCCATGTGCAGTATCTCTTGGGTCGAAGAGCCTCTTCCTAATTAAATAGCAGTCTAAGGAATGCATTTTAAAATCATGAAATGATTTGAAATCATGAAATGAAGAAACAATTTAATAAACTTAGAATACAATAGCAATGATCTCTCAGCAAGTGTTAACACTATTAATAATTCTTTGAATTTTAGAAACATAGATTCCTTCTAGAAGAAATTATAACCTTTAATTTTTCAAATACACATGTACAACTAAGCAACTGATGTTGAAAAATGACAAAAAAAAATTGAAATATTAATTTATCCAGTGGTCACTGGAAGAATACTATACTTTCATAAGTAATAAGATAACATTGTATCACACAACTTTTGTCTCCACATTAACTTTAATTAGTGCCCAATAATTTTGGAGTCATTTTGCAGCATACTTGTTGCATTTAAAACATAATATGATATTGTTAATACATATGACAATACTTCACTCCTATTACATCTATACCTTTTGTAGTGTAAGCGACTGCTATGTACAAGAGGAACTATTTGATTTAGCTAGAGAACAATATCCACTCTGTTCAAAAGCTTTTCCATTTTTTATAATAGTACAGGTGACCATATCAATTATTCATTATTGCCTAGCAAACTTCCAGAAATGTACTGACTTAAAACAAACATTTTTATATCAGAATTCTACTTATTGGAAATTTATGATAGGATCAGTTGAGCATGCTGGGTATTCCTGTGTCTGCGCATTCCTGCTACAGGGGAAAGGATTTATCCTAAGGCTTGCCATGCTCTTTAGGTTCCCACATGGATGTCATTTCAAACTTCTGAGAGGCAAATTCTACAACAAGGTTACATATGCAAGTAGATTTTTATGACAAAGTCTTATGTTAAATCAATCCAGGAAGAAACCAGGAAGAGCTTGACCAACACAGAAATGAGTTTTCATATATCCCTACCACAAAGTCACTGGCTGAGAGTACCCTGGGAGGAGTTTGGCTTTAAAAGACATGTCAGAAGAGAGTTCAAAATGCAGCAGCAGCAGCTCTAGGACAATTATGTTTCTACATGGAAAATCTATTTTATGCATTTCTCTGCAGAAATAACATCTGTCCTCTGATAATGTTGGCTGAACTTGTTAATATTGTAGCTAGGCAAAGTTTTAATCAAGACAGCAAGCAGAGGTCTCAAATACTTCTCAAGAACTAGGACCAAAAAACCTTACAAATAACTATTTCTATTTCACTGCTCAGAACAGATTCAAGGAGTAAGAGAGACTTCCTCTCTTGTAAAGAGCAGTCTACTTACATTACAAAAGGCACAGATGCAGGGGAAATGGACTGTCATATGTATTTGTGAAAAGTCCAAAGTGACTGTGATTTTTAAGTTTTGTTTAATTTTTGTAGATTCTGTTGCTGTCACATGGATGGACAGAGTATTCCCCTCAATGCAATGGGTCATTTCACGGGGGATTTCAATTTCAATGGTTGACAAAATTTCTTGTGGAATACTTAAAGGATCAAGGATGCTCTATGCTGCTAGCCAAGAAGGACAATTGCCTCTGATCCACTCTATGCTTAATGAAAAACTATCTCCAGCTGTAGCTGTGATCCAGTTAATCATTTTCTCTTCTATTGTTGTTATACCATCAAACTTAACCAACTTAATAAAATATCTGGGATTAGTATCTTGGGTTTTAAATGGGCTAAATATGATTGGCTTACTTAAACTGAGGTACCAGAATCCAGATCTATGGAGACCTTATAAGGTAAATTTGATTTTTTTGTGTGTGTGTCAAAGTTGAAATTTGATATTTTTACAAGGAAGATAGATGTTGTTTTCATTTAATAAATAAATATGCAATCTGTAACTGCTATGTTTCAGGCACTGTTCTAGGCAGTTCAGAGAATCATTTAATCTTTTCATGAAAGTTCTTAGCTTCATAGCAAAATAAGAAATATCTACAAATACAGTTACAAAGTTCATTAGCAAATGCCACTTTGTTAAGGAAGATCTATTGCAATGTACTGAATGTATTTCTCACAAATACTTCAACATTATATAAAACATTATTTTGCAAAGGAAGAATCTGAGGATCACGTCAAGTTACCCAAGTTTGTAAAGCCAGACAGTGATAGGTAGGTGCATTAGGAGAATCTTTTCTATCTGTCCCATCAAACTTATAAAGATGAACTTAGAAAAAATTGAGTGGTTACTTCTTGAAGAAATGAATTATTAATATAATGATTTTTGTATTTCAATCCAGATTTTTCTGAATAAAATATTTATTCTGTGTTTAATTATGTAACACTGTTGGTCTAGGGCAAATTTGTACATATTACTTGGAAGAAGTATAATAAACAAATAGTAACTTTGTTGCCTAAATACAGACTATCAGTGTTTACATGGCTAATATTGAAATGGTATTATTATTTTTTTATTTATGATATGACATGAAATAATGCAGCTTTTCATGGCTTAAAGTACAATGTTACACTGGTTTTAATGAATGAATGATATAATCTAATGGCAAGTAATTTAGTATAAATTGCATTGTATGAAGAAATACAATGAAAGCATTTCTACAAGGGAAATTTATAGTGCAGAATTCTCACATTAAAAAGGCAGAGCAAGCCCAAATAATTAATCTAATGGTGAACTTCAATCTTCTAGGTAAAAAAAAGTGCAAGTTAAACCCAAAGTATATAAAAGAAAGGAAATTATACAGATCAGAGCAGAAATTAATGCAACTGAAATTGAGAAAACAATGCAAAGAACCAATAAATAAAAGAGGTATTTCTTTGAAAGATTAAATAAAATAGACTCACCTTTGGCCAGCCTGATCAAAAGAAAGGAAGGAAAGATTCAAATCCATGATTGGGAATAAAAAGGATATGATCACAGCAGATCTTTCAGAGATCTGGAAGATAACCAATATCTACGATGAGAATCAGTACTCCAATAAAAGGGACAGCTCAGAAAAAATGGACAGATTCTTAGATACATATGAATTACCAATACTGAATTAAGAAGATACAAAAATTCTAAATAAATCAACATCAGTCAATAAAATTGAAGAAGTAATTAAAAAGCTACCAACAAAGTAAACCCAAGGACCTTATGGTTTCATTGCTGAATTCTACAAGATCTTTAGAGAAGACCTAATGCCATTACTCCTCAAACTCTTTAATGAAATTGAAAGTGGGCAATACTTCCAAATCATTCCTGGAATCAAGCATTACCAAAACCAGAGAAGGATCCAAACAAAAGGAGAACTACAGGCCAACCTCCCTAATGAATATAGATGCAAAAATCCTCAGTAAGATAGTGCCCAATACAATGCTGAAAACCATCAAGAAGGTTGTATACCATGACCAAGTAGGATTCTTTCCAGGCATAAAGAGAAATTTCAACATAGGCAAACCAATAAATGTAACGCACCACTTTAACAGAATGAAGGAGAAAAGCCATATGATTATCTCAATAGATGCAGAAAAAGCATTCGACAACGTCTAGCATTAATTCACAATTTTTAAAAATCCTACAGAAAACTGAAATAGATGGTAGTTATGTCAACCTGAGAAAAGCTGTCTATAAAATACCAACAGCCAGTGGTGTTGCTAAACGGTGAAAAATTGAAATCTTTCATGCTTTCAAGAACAAGACAAGATGCTCACTATTACCACTTGTGATTAATGTAGTTCTAGAAACATTAGCCAGGCAATTAGAGAAAGAAAAGAAATAAAATGAATATTGATAAGAAAAGAAGGAATTAAATTATCATTATTTGCTGATGGCATGATACTCTAAAACTCAAACAAAAGACTAGAATTTAAAAATTGTAGTATACCTTAATATGCATTAATCTCATTTTCTATAATACAAAACTAATAATGTTCATCAAACATATTTGAAAACATATGCAGTTACTTCCCCTTTGTTTTCTATCACCTGTGTAACCCTTTGTCTGTAAAAATTTGTGTGAAAAATGTCATTATTAATCTTAGTTTTCTTTTTTATTTCAGGTGTGGCTGCCATTGATATTTGCATCTTTAGCTTCATCTGTATTTCTAATTTTGATGCCAATCATTCAGTCTCCAAAAATGGAGCATGCTTATCAAGTTATCTTTGTTTTAAGTGGACTTCTGTATTACCAATTTCATGTTCACCTTAAGCAACATTCTGTATGTTCTGAGACAATCACTTGTTATTTACAATTATTATTTAATGTATCACCATCAGATGATCATGAAACTTGTATTTCCACAAACAAAAACTGAGTATAAACATATTTGTGAAAATAAGAGAATTTAATTTGTGAAATTTAAGTGGATGTATAGAGCCCTACAAACCCCCAAGCTATACAGAACAAATTCAAACACTCAGATACATATATTCATTAATAACTAAGGACATAGGACCTCAAATTTCCAAATAAATATCAATAACAAGCATATATGCTACAATTTGGATCTGAAACATTCCCCACAGACTCAAGTGCTGAAGAGTCAGCCCCTGAAGGTGATGCTAAAGGGATGATGGACACTAGAAATGAGTTTTGGTGGACAGTGTAGGTTAGATGCAACAGGCATTTGAAGGGTATTTTTGTCCTGGCCATTTCTTCATTCTCTCTTTCTCTGCATGCTCTCTGCCATGACAAGACACACTTCACTCCACCACATGGCCACCAACATTATATTCTGCCTCACCACAGGCCCAGAAGGAGCACACCACAAAACGTAGCATTGAAACCTGTAAAACCATGAACTAAAATAATTCTTTCCACCTTTCTGGAAATTTTCTCTGCAACAGAAACTGACACAAAAATTTGGTACACAGAACAAGGGTCACTCCTGCAACTGAATCAGGCAATGTGGTTCACAATGTTATGTTATTGGTGCGTAGAAGAATTTGACAACATTTGGAGATGAAAGCTAGAAAGGACTTAAAATGTTGCAAAGTACAGTAGTCATTTTGTCATTCCAAGAACAAAATATCCAATATTGACAACTAAAAAGAGGACAAGTTTCTTTTAGCACTTGTTATAAGTGGGCTCAGGCTATGGTTTATGGACTCCAAGGCAGTAACAGCATGGTAGAAAGATGTTCTAGAGGAAAATTAATCAGCGCATGGCATCTGGGAAGTAAAGAAAGAAAAGAGAGGATGTGAAGGAAAGAATACACCCTTCTAGGCAATTACCTCAGTGTCCCGCCTCTTTGCAAAAGGCCCCAGCACCTAAGATGCACATTCTTCTCTGAACTAATCACTGGACAAATGCACTAAGGAGAATAACACCTTTATAATACAATTACCTTCCAAAAGCTGTACCTCTGAACATATGAGATATATGGTAGATATTTTACATCTAAACAACTATGTTCTCCTCTGACATCTAAAAGTCTTAAGTACATTTCATTATGCAAAATGCCTTTAGTCCATTTGATGAGTTGCCAGAATTTCAATAACACCAACATTGCTCAAAACTGGAAGTCCAAAGTCTCCTCTAAGTCTCAAGGAAAACTCATGCTTGGGACTGAATAAAAACTCCAAAAGAAAGTGAAACATCTCCAATATCCAACATCCCAAGTTAAACAGATACATTCCAAAAGGGAAGAAAACTGGAATAAAAAACATTGTACCAAAATGAAACCAAGACCCCGGAAGGTGTATGTTAAATGTGATAGCTCTACGTTCCACCATCCAGAGCATGCAGTGATGAGATGTGATTTCCAAAGAGCTTTTAAAGTCCCACCCCTGCCAGTGCTTTACATTGCCCTCTTGGGCAGGCACTGCTCACTTACTGTGGCTTTCCTCAGCACATCTTCCACATTACTAGCATCTCCATCTTCTTAGGGTCTACATTGCACTTTAGGCTTCATTTGTACAGCTTTATGCATCATATTCTCAAGGAATGATTGTCTCTCCTCCCAGGCTTTCCTCTGTAATCTCCACAAGTCTTCAGTTTTGTATGACTACACAAACAGCACCATGGTTACTTTAAATTCTACCACTAACTCAAACAGTAGCCAGGCAAACTGGGCCTAGATTATGCTGGCCTCTGAGTGCTGGATGGCTGAACATTGCATACACTTATACCTAGGTGGCCTTAAGTATTCAGGGCACCCTGGGCTTCAAGCCAAAGGAAAGCCTTTCAAAGGTATTTACCCTTTTATACACACACTTGATTGGTGCAAGTGGAGTTGGGCCAATTACTGAGATGCTATCAAGGCACCTGTTTTTGGTGAGGTGTAAAGTACTTCATTTTAGTGGCCTGAACAACAAATGCTGAACCACATGGCTAGGTATAATCACAGCAATGGCCCCACCACAGTAACAATTTTTTAATAACCACTTCTCTATCTCTGCAACAAAATTCCCAACACTAGCAATTTAAAGGAAAAGTTTATTTGGGCCCAGGATTTCACTGAGCTCATTCCATGCTTGGCTTGTTCCAAGGCAAGAAACAGCATGGTAGAAGTGTGTAGCAGAGGAAAGCTATTTAACATGTGGAATACAGCGTGTAGAGAAGGAGGAAGGGGAGATGAGGTGAGGTGGAGGGAGGGAAGGGGAGGGGAGGGGAGGAAATGAGAAGATAGCAAGAGAGCAGAGGAGAGGAAAGGAGAGGGGAGGAGGAAGGGGAGGGGTGGGGAAGGGAAGGGAGGATAGGAAAGAAGAGAAGAAGAGGAGAGAAGAAGGGAGGAGTGGAAAGGAGGGAAGGGAAGGTAGGAGAGTAGGAGGGGTGGGGAGGTAGAGGAAAGGAGAGGAAAAGAGAGAAGAGGAGAGGAGAGGAGAGAAAAATACATCCTTCTAGGTCACAGCATAGGTGACCTTTCTCTTCCAGCCAGACTCCACTCATTAATAGCACAGTTAGCCATGATACATTCACGAACCCATCAAAATATACTGAGGAGTACAGCACTGCAATAGTAAGCATTTTCATTGCTAACAAACAATACCCAACACTTATAACTTGAAAAGTTTATTTGCTTATAGTTCAAATCCACAATCAGCTCAATCTAAGATAAGACAACATAATCAGAGGTCATGACTAGCAAAACTGCTCAGTTCATGACAGTCAGGAAGCAGAGCAGAGAAAGAGTGCCAAAGTAGACAGAGTGAGGAAAAGACATAGATCCCAAGGCCATAACCTTATAGTCCACCTAAACATACCTAGAAGTCTGGTGCACTAAATTCTAGGTGGGTCCCAATACCAATCGAGTTGAAACTCCACACTTACCACCACAACCACCTCTGTGATTTAATCAATTTCCAAAAGCCCCCCTTTGAGAACATGAGGATTTGAGGGGACATTTTAGAACCAAACCACATGAGACAAACTTAATGGGCATTTCTAGTGTGAGCTCAGAAGACTGGAATGCTGATAATACTACACACAGTAAAGATTGTGCTCTTGAGGTTACTCATGAGAATGAGGACTGTCTAGAACCTTTCGTAAATTCTGGCAATGAACTTACCTCATTTTTGTAGATATCTGGAGAGTTTGAACAAGAATGAATTTAAAGGTGACAGACTGTTTTTCCTAGTACAGCGTAATATGTCAAGGCAGAAACAGCATTCCAGTGGTGGAATGAGTACTGCTGGCTGTTTTACCAGATTCACAGGAATAATCAAGAGCAAGAATCAAAGCAGAAAGATTTGAAAATCTTGCACTTTGGTCAGGAAAGAAGTTTGTGTGCAGCCTGTGAGAGCACAATTGCTAGGTAAGTTAACAGCATTGGAAAGAAAACAATTTGTGCAGAGATAATAGGAAAGATGTCTTAAGGGATTCTCACAAATTAAATGGTAGAATTTCCTGACCAGGGCACAATAGGTAAAACTGTACACTCATTTGATAGATTTTGCCTTGAGACAAGAGCCCTGGTGTGCCTTGTTCTAACATGATCACCTAAGGAATTGTTTCTCTGCCATCAACCATCCAGGCGCTTAAAGGATTTGTCAACCATGGACCATGGTTTTCCCAGCTCCTAGGGATAGCAGAGTGGCATAATTTTTATGGTGTTAGTATTATAAACAGGAAAAAGCAATCATATAAAGTCATGGAAGTTTCCACCAGATTTAAAAGCCCAAGAGGCCAGGCACTGTGACAGTGTTAGAAACCCTGCAGGTAATCACTGAGATGGCAATGCATGTAGTTTGGGTGTGAATCTGAATTTGCAAGAGATCACAGGAAGCTTGGCATGCCAAGAACTTGTAACATCTGCTAAGAACAGCCAGAGGGAATGAGAGGACCCAGCCCAAGAGAAAGACCATGCGGGATGCAAAAGCAGGGGTGGGGCTGCTCACACCCTCTACAATCCACATGTCATCATCACATGCCCTAGGTGCTAGTCACGACTCTACCCTGTCATATTTTGGTTTTGCTTTGGTTTGATTGTTCATTGTTTCTCTATTCCTCAGTTTGGGAGTGGGACTACTTACTCTGTGCCATTACATATTGGAAGCATATAACATTTTTTAAATTTTAAGGGCTCCTGGCTGAGAGTCTGCCTCAATCACCAAGGACACTTTCAACTTAGACTTTAGAACAGTGCAGGACTGGGAGGATGCTTGGAAGTGGACGGAATACTTTTGCATTGTGAGTTGGTTATTTGCACTGTGAGATGAAATTTTGAAAGTGGAATATTTTAACTTGGACCTAGAATGTCCCCCAGAGAGTCCTGTGTTGAAGACTCAGCCCCCAGCAGGTGAATGCTGGTGGAAATGTTAGGAAGTGGGATAGTTGGAGGAAATAGGTCACTGAAGCTTTGGAAGGGTATATTTTATCCCTGGGCCATTTTCTCTCCCTCTCTCTCTCTCTCTCTCTCTCTCTCTCTCTCTCTCTCTCTCTCTCGCTCTCTCTCTCTCGCTCTCTCTCTCTCTCTGTTCTGCCATCTGCAAGCCATGAGGTGAGACACTTGGCGCTACCATATGCTCTCCATTGAATGTTTCACCTCACCATGGGCCCAGATATAATGAAACTAGTTATCAAGGACTGAGGTCTAAAATATGTTTCCTGCTTTAACTTGATTTCTGTATATATTTTGTCACAGGGAGACAAGGATAATATGTATCAAAAAGACAAAAATAAATAAATTAAATAAATAAATATCTCTGTTTGATGAGTGTATATTGTACACACTTAAAATATCACACTGTTTCTAAATTGCATTAAATGCATTAATCAAATTTAAATGTTGAAGGAAAGGACATGTAAACTCTGGTACTCTGATTTGACCATGACATATTACATCATGGGTCAAATTATCACATTGTACACCAG